ACCCCTGCCTTGTGGGAGCACCCCTGATTTGGGCAGAGCACCCCTATCCCGGGAGCGCCCTGATTTGGGGAGAGCAGCCTTGACTTGCGCAAGAGCACCCCTGATTTGGGGAGCAGCCCTCTCCCAAGAGGAATCACCCCTGATTTGGAGGGATCACCCCTGGTTTGGGGGAAGCACCCCTGATTTGAGGCTAGCACCCCTGCCTTGTGAGAGCCCCCCTGATTTGGAGGGAGCACCCCTACCTGGAAGAGCACCCCAGCCTTTGTCCCGCCCGCCCTCAGCCTGGCTGGTGGGGCAGGGGCAGTGGGGACGGCAAGGGGGGCACGGGGCGCCCCCAACCCCTCCCGCTCACCGTTTGCTTAAACGCGCTCCCCCCGGCGCTCTCTTCATCCAGGAGAACGTGGAGCTGCTCATCCAGGAGCTGCGGAGGCCCAAGTACAGCATCTACTTCATCTGTGAGTGCGTCCAGCGCTGCTGGAAAATACTAAATGCTAAAACGCTGGTAGAAAATACCAAATGCTAAAACGCTGGTAGAAAATACCAAATGCTAAAACGCTGCTAGAAAATACCAAATGCTAAAACGCTGGTAGAAAATACTAAATACTAAAACGCTGGGAGCGTGTGAATTCTAGTTTTTGCAGTCACCAAAGATCAAATAATTAAAGCAGCTTGTGAGAGGCCTTGCGAAAGCCACACCTTAAATCTGAGTTCCTCCGATGCGGCTTATTGCTGAAACTTTCTGGGATTTTCAAGCTTTGTAAACGTGAAAGAAGGCGAATGGTGGAGGTGAAGGGAATTTCTGACAAGGAAAAGAGATGCAGGGGCTGAGAGACTGACCTGAGTCTTGAGGGTGAATCGTTGAGGATAGACTTCGCGTCCTGGGCCTTTCTTACGCACCCTGAACGTGAGACGAAGTGGAACGGCTCTGGCTGCGTTTGGGTTTGAGCCTCGTCCTCCAGCGCAGGCCTGGCTGGGCGAGGTTCTGGGAAATGAGCCCAAGTGGCCTCTAGATGTCATTGCCGCCCCGCGGGAGCCCAGCGCCTCGGGGTTGGGAGCCGCAGACCCGGTGGGGCCGAGTTAGGAAGGTCTCAGGTTGGGCTGAGGCATCCCACCATCGCCAGAGGCAGCAAGTTGGGCAGGGAGTTAGCTCCGAGTTACCCGTGTGAGGTAACTTCTGGGTGATAACGTCGTAATCGCGGGTGTGAGGGCGAGGGGTCTCTGCCCTGATCTGCTCCGGGGGGGAATGGGGTCGTGCTGTTCCTGTGTCGCTTGCGGAGCCCAACTGTTTGTTTTCTTTCAGATTTCAGTAACGTGATCAGCAAGAGCGACGTCAAGTCCTTGGCTGAGGCTGACGAACAGGAGGTCGTGGCCGAGGTTCAGGTGAATTTTGCGTATTTTAAACAGAACTCCTGATCCAAAAGCAGCCGGCACGCGGGAGGACGGTCTCGGCTGTGGCATCGGGAGGACTGAAGCTCTCGGAGCTGCTGCTGGTTCTGCGCATTTGTGGTCTCGACAAAGAGCTGCGTACTCGAAAAATACATGCCATGAACTGGCAGTGGAGTGTAGAGGTTCGGGAGGTTCGGCGTGGAGCGAGGAGGAATGATCGGGGTCAACGGGTCCGCA